ACCAAACATTGTTTTAATTACTCAAATAGAAGAAAGCTGGATAATTTTTACTTGCCTATGAAGAATGTTCTGCTTAAGCCAAAACAAATTCTTTACCAGTTCTTTTAGAAAGTCTGGAAGTATTTAAGTTTCTCTCCTCTGCTTATGAGACAATGCCTGTTAGTGAGCCAGTGCTACATGGGGTAATACTCTTCATTTGTAACAACCTGTCATTCAGCTGGTCAGTAAGCTAATTAAGTATGTTTGTTAATCGTTTCAGTAATACAGTTTATTAAGTTTGAGGTTTCTTACTCTGTTGCACCTATAGGAAAAAAAAAAGAAGCAACAATCCAAGGTCTGTGCCTGTTGAATAGTTTACAGAAAGTTAAACAGTGTATCCATTCACTTTTGCTATTGTGGTATGTGAAATGCAGTCTTTTGAGCTGAATCCCAGAGTCATTAGCTATTAACTCAGGCTAAAGCACCTATCGATTTCAATCATAGTTAATCATGTGACACTCCTTTATTTATGCCTGTATTGTGGTTTTAACTAACAGCTCGTGACAGGGATTTGTAGATGGGTCACGTAGGAGTGGGAGTCCCAGGAAACGTTGTGGTCCCTCGGCCAAAATTCTCTGCGGTTGCCCTGAGACTAATGGCCAGACTGGGCTCTCTACCGCACTTTACAGGGAGCTGAATAAATTCCTTCTACTGCCTTAGCAGAGGGATTTCGAGGATATAATCCTTCCTTTTCCCTGGCATTGGAAAACACATGAAACCCTAGTGGCAGCGCACAACTCAAGTACTGTTAGCGCTCCAAGACTGTGGAGATGGGGCAGAGGCTGGAGTCGGGACAGAGGAACAAAGAGGTGATGTGGCTTGGGGTGGCCTTTGTGCACCAGCACAGGGTCAGCCAGAATTTCAGTCTACCAGTGGGAATATTCAGTACTTCCTTCAGTTATATAAAATATTGGCGTAGAAGCCCAGGCACGCATGGGGAAAAATATGTGGATTCGAAACAATACTTTCAGTGTCTGAGTGCTTTACCCAGGAAGAACTTTGTTTTATAGCAGTACCATGTGTGCCTCATACTGCTGCTACTGCTGAGCCTCTTTCAGCACAGCTGAGCTCTTTTATACCAACCTTTCATGACTTCTTTGCCTTCTGAACCAGTAAGAATTATCTCCAAATCATAAGCTTGTGACAGATGTATCATTCATGAAAATCTGTTCTCTGTCTATAAGGAGTTTTCCAGAAGCCCTCAGGAATACAGGCTAGATTATTTTAAAATGTGTGTGAATGATGGATAGAAAAGTGTAAGCCTAAGCTTAGGGAATGGCATCATCTTCATGCATAGTGCAAGCTGTGTGCCTGTGTTTAGCTTCCCTGCTTATTTTAAGCTCATACTTATGTGTTGGACTTGTGTTGAATGGTGAGACAAACTAAAAATAGTTATGGATTCCCCCAAGTGACTTTTCCAGTCACTTGTGACTCAGAGACTGAAACAGGCTGAGTTCTTCCCAGTAGTAGGAAGTGGGTGAGACACTTGAAGTGGATAGAAATTGCCTGAAAGTTTTTGAGACCTGTAGAAACAGAGCTTCAGTTCATTGATGCTTAGGGTTTGTGAAAGGGAGGAGCATCTCAAGAAATTGTAGCTGGCTAGGAAACAGTTTGTGCAGTGCCATGAGTGTTGAAAGTATCTGAAGCGCTATTAGATGTACCAGAGAAATCAGGGTTTATTAGCCATAGAAGAACTTTGTTTCTGCTTGGCTTAGGACTTTGCAGAGCAGTCATTTTTTCTGATGCATAGCTCCAAAATTACACAGATCTTACACCACTAGGAGCCCCATGTGGCAGTTGCTTTTCCTTGCTGGCCAGTTTCTACAATGATCTGGACGTTAACCAAATTATCATTGATTCTTCAAGCTTTAATTCACCATAGAGGCAGTGGGAGCAGCAGCTTTAATCATTGCCAGTTTTTACTGACAGGACTACAAACCACAGTTGCCAGATGACTCAGACTTTGGCATCCTTATTTTTGCTCATGGTTTTTATATGGAAATTTGAAAAAGTTATGACCACAGAGATCATGATTTTCAGGAGAGTGCAAATGCTGTAGCACCACACCTAAACTAAAAGTGGGCTTTAGTCCATCTTCCTCCTCCTTTCTTTTTTTTTTTTCTTTGTTTTATATGCTTTTAATTTACTACTGTTAAATGTCACCTTTTCTATTCTGGGGATAAAGAAAAAAGCGGCCAGTTCATGATGGCATATCGGCTCTCACGTCAGTGGAGTCTTGCCTTGACACACACACAAGCTGCTGGGATATGTCCTTGAGGCTTGTGACCTTGCAGAGGAACACTGGGTGTTAGGTAATGTGCCTCACTGCCCAAATGCTCCGTTTCTGAGATCATAAGGGGAGGTGCAGCACCAGCCTTGATTCCTCCCACTTCTTTTCAGAGAGATGAGAGTTGTAAAACTGAGGCACAAGGAGGGGGAGAAGAGTCAAGTGCAAATTGGTTTAGCTGACTCTCGCTAACAGCCACAGTATATGACTTTGGTAAGTGGCTTCTCTTTCTTTGAAGAAGCAGTACTAGCTCTAGGAAAGGAGTTGAGCAGCTGTAATTATAAAGTAAACCTGAGTAACTGTGATGATAAAGTAAAATGGTCCTTCCTAGCACATGCTCACCTGGGATGTGGGATGAGAAACCAGCATTGTGTAAAGATGTGACATGAATTCTCTAAGGTTTTAGGGCAGCCACTTGGAAGAGACATTATGAGTACTCTCCATTTGAAAGATTTTTGAGCTTCTGGGAACTGCAGCAATATCTGTATATCATCTAGCTAGAGGCAGTTGAAAGAGCTGGTTCCAGTTTTGAAAACACCTGAGCTGCAGCAGCAGAGGGGGTTGTACAGAATTCCGTGTTTGTGCATCGTGACAGCCTTTGTGAACTGCCAGGCCAAGAGTTGCTTCTGGAAACAGAGCAGACTCTGACTGATCAGGAATGGTCAATCTCGTACTAATCCTATCAGTGCCCAAGCCAGGGGAGCGTAAGACAGCCTGAAAGACACGTGTTCATAGTGTAAGCCTGAGCCTGCATCTGAAAGATGGGACTTGTTTTGATACTTTACTGTTTTAACACAGCCAAATACCATCCAGGCCAGGACTGTTTCTCACCTCTTGGAACATGCGAAAATTTGTCACAAGACCCTCTGCAGATGGTAGTGTGAAAATAGACTCCTAAAGTTACACAATAACTGAGCAGTCTCTTTTAACCTGTTTGGCCACTCTGTTCTTTGTTGTTCATGTGTCACCTTAAAACGTGGCTCAAAGCACAAGTGGTGCTACCCCATGTAGGGGTGATGCGCAGAGCTGAACCGTAACTTCGCTAAGTTGTCCTGGTGCTAAAAGCTCCGTTTCATGAGAGAGGCTGTGACAGAGGATGCTCCTGGCTGCTCACACATCCCTTACTTGACAGATGTCTAAGCTTCACAAGCAGCAAGTGCAGAGCTGCTGCAGGTTGCACATTACAGTCTGGTGTTTAAACGGTGAACTGGTGCTGCTTTCAGTTTGTTGCTGAGGTACTTCAGGAAGTGCCTGGGGAGTATCTGTGAAAAAGGGGCAGAGAAGATGGCTGGGATGATGCCTTGCCAGCCCTCACCATGCAAAGAGGGGACCCTCTGATGAGTCAAAGCCCTGATGTTGTGGGTTAGCCTGCTATCTTATTAGCAGTCACGCTGTGAAGCTACACAGAGTAACTCTGTACTTTGAAAACATCATTGACTCATGGGTGTCAGTACGATTAAGTGCACGCTGGAAAAATTTTGGGAAGGTTGGAGGAAGCCCTCAGTGCCTGGGCATTCAGCATGCATCCCCTACTGCGGAGTGACTGGGTTACCAGCTGAAGTGAAAGCAACCGCAAGGCCACAGCCTGTGCCATAGGATGAGCCAGCTATCTTGAGCTGAAAACTAAGCAGCAGTGAGCATTTGGGCCAGAGGTTTATATGCTGTCAGGAAGGGAAGTTAGATCAGGGAAGGTCTATTCACTGCATGCTGAGGCTTCACACTTCAGCACATTTGAATTGTTTGCTGCAGTGCCTATTTATATCAGCATTTGCTTTGAAAGTGTTACTAAGTGCAGCTGTTATGCACTTGTCTTGTGCTTTGTGCACTTCCATTTTGTACCTAATTGATAGGTTTAGATATATTTTTGTATTTTCTGCATCTCAGAAATACATTTAAGCTTTCTTTGCAATTTTCTTCCATTTTGCATGGTAAAAGTCAAGAACATAACTAAGTATTTTGTAAGATTCTGAAAATTTGTATTCTTATTAATAAAAAGAATAATAAAAATATTTGTGGTCAGAAGAGAAAAAGGAATATTGACCTCAGAAATTATTGCAAGATTAATTTAAATATTTGCATGGGGAAAGACACTTGTTTGGAGTAACACAGACATCACTAACTTCAGCTTCAGTCATCTTATCTGTGTTACCTTCTTTAGTATCTGGGCAACAGAATCTGTCGTCATAGTTTGGCAATTTTCAGTAAGTGGTCATAAACATTAAACATAAGTTGGCAGGAGGTTGAGGCTTTTTAATGGGGGATAACATCATAGAAATCACAGTCATACTTTTTGTCTTTCTTTAAGAGAGTAATTAGAAAGGTACTTGAGATTATACAGGTTTTGAAAAAGTGACGAGCACATTTTTATGAGGAAAAACGTAGGGAATAGGTGCCAATGGCGAGTTACTACCTTGGACATACGCTCACTCATTCTTATGACATACTGTTCTCTTCTGTTTCTTTCTCCTTTTCAAGTGGACACAGGGGAAGATAATACTGTCACCTAACTTGCTCATGCCATTACAATGCACTATTTAAGTTCAGCCAAGAGCTCCAGTGAATCTTCAGTGTCTCGGCAAGAGATTGATCCAAGATGACTGAAAAAGAACATTGTACTAGAAGTAAGCATCATATAGTATCATTAACCGGAGTGTTCTTTACCTGACTATTCCAGTGTGGCAAAGCACTTCCTGGCCTTTCCAAGCAAGAAGACTGCTGTGGAACCGTGGGTACTTCCTGGGGTTTTAACAAATGCCAGAAATGTCCCAAGAAGCCATGTAAGTGCTATTTTGTTGTTATTCTCTGGATCAGTTTATGGCTTTTTTTTTTCCCCTCAAGTAGTATTTTTCCTTTTTTGAAAGAAAAAAAAAAAAAGGAACCTAGTAGAAAGAATAGGCTGTTGTTTGATTAGGGACAGGTTGCAGAAACTGGAATTCTCCTGCATGCCAGCAGAGTTACAATATGCAGGCACTCAGTGCAGCCAGTAAAGTTAATGTCATTGGGTTTTTTCATCCCTTCCTCCTCCTTTAAGTCAGTGATGCACTGTTGTGTTTTCTCAGTGCAGGAAGGATAATGACATTGAATCATCTTGCCTCTTCCAGCTGGATTTATTTTTTTAAAAGTTTGCACAGAAATGTTAAATTATAGAGGCGCCAGTTACTGCTTGGAGAGAATGCAGTGACCTCTTGGGACTGCAGATGAACTTTCAAGTTTGAAGCCAAAGTTTTCCAGGCTCTAAATTGGCAGTTACTTTTTTTTTTTGCGCTCTGTTTTAGAAATATCTTCCTCAACAATTAGGCAATGACAAAGACTTTCTTCACTGTATAGTTATGATTTGACATCATATTATAAAGAAATTTCCAATTATTTACATGATAGGTGAAGCTACTCTTAAAATTTTTGTGAATGACATTATTGTTGCACAGGAATAGTAATACTTCTCTGTCATGTCATATTTTCATCACTAAATGAAAGATGGGAAAAGATAATGTAATCTCTGTTTTGCAGATGGAGCGGACCTGCATTTAGTGGGCCAAAAATAGTGCAAGGAGTTGCAGTCATTCTTACCTAGGTCTTCTAGGCCCCTGTTGTTTGTACAGGTAGCAATGCTGGAAAACATGTTCAGTGTTCGATTTTTTTTGGAAGCATATTTTTGTCCACAAGTCTGAATGTGGACATAAATACAATTCCAGCAGAAAAACTGTTACTCCTAGTTCTCTGACTCCTCCTTCCACAGGAGAGTTTGATATAAATTTATACTGACTCAGTCTGATCTGCTAGTTTATAAAGCATTTAAATTTTGTGTTTTGGAGTATGTTTATCTTCTGATTTGCTTCCAAAAGAGAGCCTCCTCGGGGTCTTTGAGGTCCATAGTTAATAAAAGACTCAGGTACATAAATTTCTATTCCTGTAGCACATAAATACAGCTTTTAAGAGAGACACATTCTGTATTGGTGTATGAATTGTGAAATATGTTCTGATTTTGTAGCTTTCTCTAAAGAAGTAGCAATTTAACTACAACTGAAAGTTTTGTTCATCAGAAGCATGTGGGCGTGCAGAGTGTTGCTTACTGGATATAGTTGTGCCATGGGAAAATCACAAAAGCCTGAAATGTGCTTCAACCAAAAACTGGTAGGAACTACTAATACAAATTTTTGGTGCCTGGTTTGAAGGGAAGCCCATGTGCTAGCTCTTCATAGCTCAGGTAAAACACTGGTCTCCTCAGCCTGGAATCCACAACAGACAACGTGTTGATCAGGCAGCTGCTTAATGCCAACGTGCTCAGCATGATGTTAAGAGCAAGGAAACAGGGAAACACTGGGACAAACCATGTCCGAAATCCTGGTCCCCAGGTGCTTCCTAGGTGGGTACAGAGAAGTGCCTGAACTTCTAAAACATGCCTAAAACCTCTCCTGAAGGGAAGTCCACCACCCTTTTTTCAAAGCACCGAGGAAGAATAATTTTTTTGAAATGCTAATGAGATGAGCACTGTCCTCTATAATAAAAGCTTAATGGCTAGCACACTTGCTCAAGATGGGGCAATTCAGAGTACCTTCATCTGCCAGAAGAATTTCTAATCTACATTTTATACCTATGAGGAGATGCCCTAACCCGTAAAATGTAGAAACAATTCTTGGAACAGGACTGGGAACCCAGTCTCTTTCCCAGTGTCCTTAATTACTTACGGTATGAGTCATGCTCACTCCTGCTTTCTGGCTCAATCTGGAATTGTTTTTTTGAATGTAACTATATGATTTCAAGAGGAGACAGAGAACGTTGCCACTTGGAATAATCCTGTCCTTGTGATTAAAGCATTCCTGGAAAGTAAGGGTTTGTGTCTCCTAGACGTGATGGGATACATTTCTCATCTTTCTAGATGGGAGCTCTCACTGTACAGTAGTGTTTTAAGAAGGGAGGAGGACACGGGTGCACTGTTTTCTCCAGATTAAAATACAGTGTTATCTACCACTACATGATATCAAGAGTATGATTTGGTAGGTGTATGCTTCAAGAATATTCACTGAATCTGTCAGGAAACTTTGGTAGAGGCATATGTAATTTCTTAGTCTAGATTTGATTTAGGAATGAATTAAGCATGATGCTATTCAATCATGCCATGACTTATGGCAATTCTGCATGAGTGCAAATGGTGAATTTTGAGATCTCTAAGAACTTAAGGTGATAAATTTGAAGTGTTGCAGGAGTTTAAGTGGTCTTACAGCATCTTGGAGTTTTATAGATGTTCAGTTTGAACTTAGGCACACAACTTGTTTTGGATCTGGGCCTAAGTGTCCTTTGGGTATAGGTGTCAAATTAAGCCTCATGTCAGTATCAGTGTTATGCTTCTGTAGAGCAAACAATTTCCAAAGATAAATGTAAATTTGTGATAAGATTTAATGAAAGTGTGGAGTGCCTGCTTAAGGATTTATATTTCATCAAGTATTTTTTTACAATATTGAGAATGTTTCAGTGGTAAAAAGAGTATGCATATATATATTAATATATATGTATATATGGTATTGGATGGAAAAACTTGGGAGTCAAGTAAATTATTAGTAAGTTATCAGTTAAGTGGTGTGCATGGTAGTGTCTCAGCAGGCAAAGTTAGTCCCACGTTGGTCCCATGTCATTTTGACCTGTTCTGATACTTCACTAAATTGGTATTACCCTTTTTGTTGTAGACATTTTGGAAGCAAACAGACTTCCTTTTCCTTTTATGGTTTTAGGCTTCATAAACTTCATTTAAGATTGACCTGTTTTTATAACAATATGTAATCAGGTTGCATTTAATGTGATCTTCTGCAAAACCCACTTCAGCAAAATATTTAAGCATATACTTCAGTCTCATTAGCAGTACGAGACTTTCTTGTTTCTTCAGTCAGCTACTTAAGGATGTACTTAAGTTTGCATGTGGCTTGTTTCCGTGGACTTCAATAGGGCTTTGTCACTTTGTAAAGATGTACTTGCATATTTTGGGTAATAGCCACTGCTCATTCAGGGCTTCTGTCTTGTTGCAAAGTCAAGTGCCTTGGCCTGAGACAGCTCCCATGTCTGTAAGTTTATAGGTTCTTCAGTATTACTGAAAAATAAAAGAAGAAATTTTGGAACAGATCTTCATTTTTGAGGGCTTCTACAGAAGACAACTTTCAAGGCAAAGTGCATTTCTGTGTTACATGGGTAATGTTATGATTGTTCAGGCTTCTTGCTAACAGTTAATAATTACAAACAGGTTGTCTAAGTGAGTAAAGGGTAAGTAATGTAGGACTCCATCCAGCTCCCACATGGATCACTAGCCATCACTGAATAAGCTCCTTACTCTACTGCGACCTGCTTACGTTGCTGCTCTTTGTAGAAGGAAGAAAACAGCTGCTACTAAGCCACTACTTCCTGTTCAGTGTGGGAGTAGGAGGATGAGGAGGGAGGGAGAGGTTGAAATCTCTGACCCCACTCCAGCACTGCACTTTCTAGAGCAGCTGAGTCACCCTGGAAGGGAAAAATGCGTTGCAGCACTGGAAAAGGCCTGGCATAGCTTATGGGCTGGTCTCCATCTACAACTGGAAGAGCTCTGCTCTTCCTCTGTTTTCCTCTGCCAGGCTGTAGTGCAGGGTGCCATTCCTGCCCACAAAAAGTTAGAGGCACTCTCTTGGTTTTAGTGTGAATTGAATTAGGTCTGTAATGGCACATGCAGGTAAGTTAGGACATAATCAGTGCAATTATGAATCTGACTCTGCCAACATGAGCATTAGGAGTTTCACTGACATTTTGGGGGACCAGGAATAGGCTAATGCATTGTGCTTTTGAAAATCTCACCTTAAATTTCAACTGTTTTTAATATTAAACATGGTGAAAAGATTGGAGCTGCCTTGAAAATAAATGTGTAGCTGTCATTTTTTGGTGAGAGACAAAATTTTCAAATTTCAATTTGTGTTAAAATGGTTGTAGTCAATGTAAACATGGAAAAGTATGTGTTCAAAACTAAGAACATTGTTGCTATATTTTGACCTGTGCTCTTTTTGTGTTTAACCATTTTATCATTTTAAGCAACCTCTAAGGAGAATCTTAATGTTCTAATTAAGCAATTATTTTAAATAGTTTTATTTCAAATTGCTATGAATTATCTCACTCCAAAAGCTACTACTCAAGATCATTACTTAAATTTTTCCAAAGAATAGGGAAAGCTTTAGAACTAATGAAAATAATTCTTTTTTTTTTTTTCCTCCCCCCCCCCAATCAACCAGTTACCAGTTTTAAAATAAGCTGCAGGGATAAATGTGCAATTCAGGCATTATATGTGAAGTGAAGCCAATTGAAAACATTATCTCAGTTGTTCTGTCTTATTTGACAGTTTATATACAGCAAAGATGGAAAGTGTTTGATTTTTTTTTTTTTTTTTTTTTTGGCCTGCTACACATTTAGAACACTTTTAAAGGAAAACAAAAGATCTGACCAAATCTGACCAGATGTAAGGTATCTCTGTTGTAGCATTCAAATTATGAAAAACTCTCTTGACTCTTATTAAAGGCACTTGTGTAATCATAGTGCCAAAAGTTTAGTCCTATATGTTTAATAAAGTACTGGGCTTTGCCAAGATGTTAGCTTTTAGTGCATAACCATACAAAGAAGTTACAGCTCTCATTTATGATGTTATAACAGTTTAAGAATCAATAAACAGGTTTCTGTAGTCTCAAAGGCAACCTTAAGTGGAGGAAAGAAACAATAAATAGAAATAAAAATCTAGTTAACTGGACACTTTCTATTTTGGCAAAATTGAACTCAGTCTGTATTTTGCAGTGTTGTTATGCCCTTGACAGTTTACACTGATTAGCCAATAAGTCACACAGTCTTCTACAAGTCAGCAACTTTGTTAGGTAAATCACAAATGTTTTTTTCTTCCTTTTGCCTTGTTTTAAAAGTTCATTTGCTTCTATTTCCTATGTATTTCAAATATTTTTTAATTCATTGTGGCAATAGAAATGGTACCCAACAATTTTGCTTAGCGCTGAAGATACTTCTGCTTTCTAAAGCCGGTTTCAGTTTTAAAACCATTGAGTTTCCATCATGAATCTTCAACTTTATCTTTTCCCAACATGATATTTGTAGCTGGTTTGGGAAAGTAATTATTTGAATATTTGAGAACAGCTAGAATGAAAGATAATGTCCTGATTTCAAAGATTTATTTTGTGGACAAAATAAAAATTTGACTGGATAACTGAAGACTTAAGTGGTATACATGTGGAAAGAGATGGAATTAAGGTTACCTGTACAACCTTTAATTTTAATTTCTTGACCTTTTGTGCTTAACCATACATCATAAAAACTTACGAATTTTTTTTTATAGTTACGTAATAATTTGGCAGTCAGGCTCTCTAAATAAGCATGTAAATCAGCAGTATTTAACTGATGTAATTTTTTTCTTCAGCTTACCATGGATACAGTCCTATGATGGAATGCCCACAAGGCTACAAGAGGATCAATGCTACATTTTGTCAAGGTATGATAGTGCCCACAATTGATTGTGTTTATTTTGAGTACCAGTTTTCTGTGACAAATTCTTTGATATTTATGACTTAGATTAATGGATCCAGTCTGTTGATTTGTATTTGGGAAAAATGTTGAGGCTACTTTTAACTCTTTTCCAAATATTGGCAACTCCGTAGAGTGCTTTTTTTTGCTCCGGGCAAAAAACTTTTAAAACTTTTACAAATGCTCTTGTTTTCTTTGATGATGTATAAAGATGACTTCATAAGGATTCATTTACTTTGCTTTTCAGTAGAAACACATTGTTCTGTCAGTTCTTTTGCTAAACAGTGAACCTGCAGACTTATTCAGTTAAGTCAGATGAAACTAGCAATAGAGAATAATTTCTATAATCATGAAAGTATAGGGTAATCAGAGAATAATTCTTTTGGGCTTAAGAGGTTAGACACAACAGTGCTGAGAACAGCCAGAATAATGTCACTGGCAAGTGGAAATGAAAAACCATGCGTACCTGGCTGCCATGTAAAGCGGTGACCCACATACTTGAAGAATGTGCATAGTGCAGGTGAGGATGTATGGAGTTAGATACTGCATAAGTTGTGTTACTCCAAGATTATGCCCTGTGTTTCCTGGCTGTAAGCATAGAAGCTATCAAAACATACAGGGTTGTGGGATCTGCATGATCATGCAGCTCCACAGAAAGGCTTGGGGCATTTAGATTCTCCTGGCCTACGGCATCTCTATCTGATGAAGCTGAACAGATGACCATAAACATATGCTCGTTCTTTCTGTGTATCTGGGATTATTGAACAGAGGTGCCAGATGAGGATGTAGGAAAAAGCTTAATTGCTTGTCCGACTTGTTTGGCACAGCTCAAGTAAACAAGAGAAAGAAGCTCTGAGATTATGTGAGCAATCCTGCAGTGGTGCTCTGGAGAAGAGGGTTGGGAAGGCAGGGAAGAAGGAGTTCAAGTGAGGCTGACACTGACCTGTGGTCAGGTTTGTTAGTCATTGTTGACACTGCAAGGGCAAAAGAGGTCCCAACAAATAGTTGTGGTGGTGGAGAGGAGAAAATTATAGAGTAATTGGCGTTGAAGGATATATGTAGGCACTTTGGAGATAAAGTTAATTTTATTTAACTGAAAACTTTCAGTTAGCACGTCGATGAAGGAACATGCAGCAGCCAGCCACATAAAGAAATGATTTTAGCAACCGAAAAAATACAGTTTGTAGAGCACTAAACACAAACATCCCACTGCTGAGGGAGATGTGAGCTGCTATCTGAAAGTATAGGCGCTTGAGCCTATCTGCTGCTCAGTTCTCTACCTAGTGGTTTACCAGCTTGCAGGGTAGTGGCATTTGGAGGATTGTGAGAGAAAATTGGGTTGGGTCAAAATAGTAAAAAAACTAAATGGAGGAGAGCTGCAAATTGCATCTCAAGAGCTTGTTCCCTGATCTGCAGTGAAAGACTGTGGAGTCCTATTAATAAATAAAAGGGTTGGGGAGATGTTGATGGCAACTTACTGATGAGGACTGCAAAGTGAAAAGGTGAAGGAGGTGAGCGTTAAGGCATAGATGGGCCACCTTTTCACACCTCAAGTTAAACACGTAGGTGGTGCATATACTTCAGCAATATTTTCCCAGCCATTTCACAAGA